CCACTAACATCCTATCTACCCCCCAAAAAGGGGGGGGGGGACAGAACCGCAGAAAACCAGAGTGCAATTTTTCGACAGTCCAAACACTGGTTCAAGAGGATGCAGGACAGATGCTTAATTCACTTTATGTGCAACTGATACAAAAGAAAATTGCCAATTCGAGAATGGAATTACAGATGAGAATGGCACCTGAAGTAATCTCCAAAATACATCTGTCCACACTGCAAACCGGAAACAATTGAAGAGGTCCATGGGATTACTTTTTTAAACACAATTTTGTACAATTTTTTCTGCTATGTATGAAAACTGTTTGACAACTTTTTGGCTTTAGGTGTGTATAAAAAAGTTCACTTTATGTTTCAATAAACATTAAAAATTGTCTAAGCTTTCTGTTCAAGTGAGGGCGCTCTCGTAGTGATGGAAATCGGAGAAGACACTGATATTGCGTTCAAGTGTTTGTTGAATGTTCAAATTTTAAATTCCAGCAACTTGCTCCTTAAAACTACTCAAAACAAAAAGTCACCAAGGAAACGGAATTTCCGACTGCCCTACGAAAACTCCAGCAGTGCACAAATCACTGCAACATTGAGGCTTAGTGCCTGGATAAAATCACAGTTTAGCAAATGAACATTAAAATCGGCGTGAGCATAAAAAACCCCGAAGTCCAAAAGTACCCTTACCTTGCAAAGAAAAGATTGAAAATAAGGTTAATTGAAACATGATTATGCATTTTCTCGGCTTATATGGATACTTTAAATACGCATGCTATGCATTCTGTGACATAAAGGGAAACAGTTAACAAATCAAAGCATGAATACCACAAATATACCAATGAAATGGATGCAGAATTGACAAACCACTGTGCAACGTTATACTGATCCAAAATGGATCCATGTTCCGCATGACGTTGGAAGTAAGAACTGTACACCTCAAGATACACTCAGTTTTATCTGATAATGGTATTTACTCGTAACTGTAATATTATTTCTTCAGTTTGTTTTACAATACCAACTGTTATATTATTTCTACATCAGCAGACGTTTTTACGAGTTTATCAATACAGCTGATATTAATATAAATTATTCTTTCATTCTATAGCGGTTGTGGTCACAAGGAAATGTCTTTTTTTTCTCAGCACGTACTTTCATCTTGACTTCTTCAGAAAAATAAATGCCTCCAGAAGGCCTGAAACGGGGCTTAATTTGATCTTCAACTCGAAGTCCGAAAGAGGGCGTCCTTCAGGCACTTTGGTCACCAAGTCCATTTGTTTTCGAACTGTACCTTGACTGATTTTTTTTCAGTTAAGTGTGATTACTTGTACAGAGTTTTTAAAAGATGACAACTTCCTTCTTACACATGAGTAACATGCTAAAACACGAAAATAAGCCATAATGTGGGGCCAACCCCGCCGCCCGGTAGGAAAACAAAGAAAAACTGAAGATTCAGGAATCCCTGTAGGGGAAATCAGAGTGCGGCAGGAAGAGGGAGGCGGTGGGAAAATTGAGAACAAAATGACGAGAATGGTTTCTAGATTAGTGTGAGTGAAACTGCCCACATGGGGAGCATTGATGAGGTTGTCGGGCCACGGACTGTGCGAGCCAATCGGCTGCAGGGACAGGGATGATATCATCGCTCTGCCCATAAAACCGATTAAATGTTAATTGTGTATTTAACTAGCGCGTGCATTATTTTCGAAAACGCGTAAACCGGACAAGTCCCGGAGACAGCAGAGGACAAAGCACTGTTGGTTGGATCACACTCAACACTGACCAAATATGACTTCGACATCAGATAATCGGACATTTACACAACATTGCCGAATATTATCACGCTAAGTCAACTGCGCCAAAAGGCTGGGGAACAGCAAGAGTATTGCGTGGGCGAAGTCACACTCAACTGATCGCGGCAAAGCGCCTCGGAAAGATATGCAAAATAAAAGACAGTCCTAACGATTTCCATCATTCCTGTCATGAACGAAGGTAAAGTCATTTGAAACCTCTCTGGCAGGCTTCCCTGTGTTCCTTATTGTCTTTTTGGCAAGTTCAATGACCAGAGAGGGTTAGCTTTTCCCTGTGGGAAAATGTAAAGTACCAAGGGCCTTCAGGGTCTGCCATATGAAACGGTCTGTAAGAAAAAAAAACGATTCTTCATCAAAATCATGGAGTTCAGCAGTTCATATCCCGATGGAGAAAATGTTCTTATTTTCTTACATACTCTTTTGTTGACTTTCTCTGGTTCATTCCTCCAAAGTAGACCCCTCACTTCTTTCTCAACGACCACTGTGTGTAATTTATTTTTGACGTCCCTGGTAATTTATTCATAAATCATATCCTTTCCCTCATCTCTAGAGTAATTTGTGCAGTCTAACGGGCGCCAAGTACAACCACGTGATCTCAACCCGTCTGTGTCCCTGTGAAATATCACTAGACCTGTACTTTATGCGTTGTTTCTCTAATTTGATACGGCGTGACGTTCCAAAGATTATTCTCATCCTATAAAACCCGACTGGAAAGGCGACCTGGACTTTTTATGTTTCTAGCAATGACTGAACATGAATTACATGAACAAAGTCTGCCTTAAGCCATTTCAAGCCTAGTATTATCCGATTGGACGAATATTCAGTTATTTGACTTGACTCAGCCTTAGACTGAATAGCTACGGTTGTCATTCCAACAGACCATTATTCATACTCTGCGATAAGCAATCATCTGAATCCGGGAATATGTCTTACCTGGCACTGGACTTACTTGCTGTTTTATTGTTAGTCATTCTAAGTTGAAATGAATTGGACATAAAGTTTAATGGCAATCCTATTCTATAATCACAGGTATACAAATTTAAAATTGAGTAAAAATGCCAAGATTGCTTATCAAACTGTGAAATG